CATTTTTAAAAATAGATTTTAATCAAGATATCAACTTGGTGGACAGCATTGGCTGAATTTTAACTGTGATTTTAACAATATTATTGTTAAAATCACAGTTAAAATTCTACCAATACTGGATATTGTGGACATCTAGATGGATATGTCCACACCAGAGGCCCTGCAAAAGAGAACCATTTTTACATCTGCCTTAAGCATTAGCAGGATTGTGGCCATCCTGACCTGGGAGATTTGCTACCAAGAATGCCATCTTCCAAGCCCCTGCCCCTTGATTTCTCAGGCATGGGTGCCCGCAGTTGTCTCTCCCAGCTGCCTCATAGATTCCACCTGGAGCAAATGGTCCCAACAGTAGTGAGAACCTGAGTCATAAAGAACATTATAAACAATGATCAGCTCCTTGAATTAGTCCCAGGAGGTTTATGACAATCAGTACTGCTGTAGTTTCCAGATTGTCTTCAAAGGCAGCCCTGTGTAGAATGAATAGAAGTAGTCTAATCAGAAGGTGACAAAAGCATGAGCCACTTTCTTCATACTTCCTGATCCAAGAAAGGTCCCAGTTAGAGGACAAGCTGAAGCTGTTCGCAGGTTCTCCTGAAAACAGCCTTCATCTATTGCTTTAGTAAAAGCCACAAGTCCAAGAGAAACCCCCCCCCCAACTGCCCACCTAATCCTTCATGAGAAGTACAACCCCATCAAGAACAACAGATGGAATATCCATGGTGTCTGAGGGTCTCTATACTGGCGGCAACTCCTTCTTGCTAGGATTCTATTTCACTTGATCCAGTGCCTCACGACTCTAAGACACAAGGTCAGTACTTCTGTGGACTGGGTTAGAGATGTATAACTGGGTGTCATTACCATATTGATAACATCTCACTTCAAATCAATAGAAAACCTTTCCCAAAGGCTTCATGTTAAATACTGTAAAGGAGCAGGTCAGGCCCTTGGGCATCGTACACTGATATGCCCAAGGGGTTGACCTCTTCTTCCCCAACAACTCTAACTGGAACCACCCACTTAGGAAGGAATGGAACCATTGCAAAATGGTGCCTCTAATCCACAACCCTCGCAGACAGTCAAAAAGGATAGCATAGTCAATGTATTAGATGCTGCTGAGAGATCTGTCAGGGCAAGGAACAGGGCACCATTGGCATCTAAGTCCTGCTATAGATCATCCATCAGAGCAACCAGTGTCATTTCCATCCCATGCCCAGGCCTGAACTCTGACTGAAAGGAATCCAGGTAATATGTTTAATCCAGAACCCTCTTATGTTACAGTTTTCATTGTTACAAGCAAGGACTGGGCAGTTTTAAATAGCATTTAGCACTACTTGATGTACTGCCACTTCCCAGAAGCTTTGCTAGCATCAACGCTCCATGGTGGATATATACAACATGCTTAGATTTTAATATGATTTATGAAAGATTTGCATCTTCTTAAGGACAGCTGACCAGTTTATTAGCTAATACAGGCACAGTGATATGATAGATTTCTCAAACAACTGGATCAATTTGTTTATTTTTAACCTGTTAATGAACTTATGTTTTTATTTCAGTTGCATTTTAAAATCATTTGTTCAGAGTCTGCTTTGTTGGCGGAAATATCCAGGCTGTCAACCCAACTTGAAGAAATCTGGATCCATTTGCAGACTCTATTCAACCAAAGCATTTGCATTTTAAATTACATTAAGACAGCTCTGTTATAAAGTACCTTTTGTTCTGTAAGATTCAAGATGTTGAATCTTTAATTTCTTGTACAAAGCACATCTAATAATGGGTATTGTACATCAAGTTTTTAAAATGTTATCAGTATAACTTGACTTTTTGTTCAGATTTAAATACAAATCTAGTATCTTCATAAACTAGTAATGTGTATTCTATTTAAATAACTACAAGTATAATAAAGTTCTCTGTCTTAAAACAAGTTTAATATAGAAAAAATATTCAGTATGCAAAAATGAAATAAATTACAAGGGTTCATGAATGTTCTGGGATTCTTTAATGTGGAGAGAACTATCCTAGTGGTTTGAGTGGGGACCAGTGAGAGCCCTTTGAAATTGTGGGATAAGAAAAATGGTAAGAAGTAAAAATGTGAATGGTTGAATGTAGTAATAATAATAATAATAATAATAATGTTAGCGTTCATAACTTTGGTTTTCTAGTCTGCGCTCTCTCAAAGGGCAGAAGGCCAGGAAGGTGGGGCCTGCTGGATCTCAGGGGCAGAATGTTCCAGAGGGCAGGGGCATTTGCCAAAAAGGTGTGCTGTCTAGGTCCCACTAGGTGGCAACATTTGAGTGAAGGGAGCAAGGCCCCCATACCCACAGCTGCCACCTGGTCTTCAAGCAGGAGCTGCAAGACCAGGAGGACCCCCAAATTGTGTACGAGCTCTGTCCAGGGGAACGCAAACCCTGGCAAGAGTCAGTGATGATATCTCAGCCAAACCAAAAACCCAGAGTCACTTTGTCTTGCTAGGTTGGAGTCAAAGCCGATTCCTCCCCATCCAGACCCTTACAGCCTCCAGATACTGGGCCAACACTGGGACAGTGTTGCTTAGTCGGACAGGGGTGGAGTTGTATAACTGGGTAATATTTTTCAACACTGAAAAATAGTTTTCAGTGTTGGTGGAAGAGCTAAAAAGTGGTGTGATGTCAGTGTACTTTTTTATTTCCACCAAAATTATTTTGCGTTTTTTCTACTTTGAATCATAAAAACTACTTGTTCTCTCTAATTGCCTTCTAGGAAAATACTTGTCCACATTTTATACATTTCTATTTCAGTCATTTTTTTTGCATCATTCTCTTACATTTTCTTCATCCTCATCTTTGATGTCATCATTCTACCAGGCATTATTTCTTCTTACTTCCGTTTAATATAATTCCATATACTTTGGTGGCATTTTGGATTGTAATTCTTTCACTCTGATGCATCTCGCTTAAATCTACTTTCATTCATTCTGTTTTCATACACAGCTAGTATTGTCTGTTCTTGAAATCATTCTTTTACTCTAGTTTCTTTTACTTCTTTTCTTCCTTGTCCATTTTTCCCAAGTTCCACTGTTAACACTACCTAAAAATTGTTTGTCTCACATTTAGATCCTTTCATCACACTTAAATCTTCACTCTTAGTCTTGAAGCGTATCTGTGATGGAAACCAATCTTGCTTTTAGATTTATTCCTTTGCCATGGTTATGCATTAATATAAATGTTTGGACTACATATATGAAATATATCTGTATATATAATGTGTGTGTGTGTATACATACACATATACATACATACATATACACACATACAGTTCCAATCAAAGAGTATATATGTAACTCATGGTTGAACTGTGGAGTCCTTGGTGCTCTCTGAGCTTGGTTGTTTGCAGACTTTCCATTACCCAGCTACCTTTCCATTACCCAGCTAGGTGACATCATGAGTGCAAATGAATGTGGGATTTGCTACCTGTTTATATACAGTAACTTGTCCTGTCAGTGTTGGTGGGGTTTTTCCCTTGGTAGTTCCTTGATTTGGTTATTGTTTTCTACTTGATAGTTTACCTGGTGTTAATCCCTGCTTACCTGGGTGTTGGCTGCTGGAGAAGATGTGTTCTGTCTTTTTGTTTCCTTCTTAGCTTTTTTATTGTCTCTTTTGAATGGTGTGTAAATATGGTTTATTTCTGTGTGTGTCTATTGATGGATGGTTTGTCCAAATGCCAAGCTTGTTCAAGATGTTGTGCAGTTTTCTTCAAAAGTCGTCCCTGATTCTTTCATTATAACCATTCACTGGAGCATAACATGCAACAGTCACCAACCTATTAATACTTATTT